CAAATCCAGTTGCTCCCCACTCCTTAGTCCCAATTCCCCAGACTCCACCCTACTGATTCTCAGGCTATGCCTGGAACTCCTTGGGCTCCCAGGGTAGGGTCAGGAAAAACATGACTGCTGTCCTGTGGTTGCTGTGAACTCCCTATCTTCATCTAGTAAGAACTTCCAGAGACCTATCAAGAGTCAGGCACATTCATGGGCAATGGGTATATACACAACAAGACATTGTTAGCCTCAAGATGCTTCTTCTAAAGTAGAAGGGAGGCTGACAAACACATTTGCAAGGTTAAGTGGTGATTCAATAAACACTATTCATCCACTTAACAAACAGCCACTAAACATCTTCAGGACATCAGATATGAGAGGGAAGAATTCCGAAACAAGAAAGGCAGGTTTCTGTGCCTTTTGCCAGGGCCATTCCTGGGACTTGCGTCCTCTCCCAATAAAATAGGCAGCCAATTCATGCCTATATCTGCAAGTTATCACAATGAAAACACCCACCTGGGGCAGGCAGGTGACAGGAAAGCCCTCTGATCCTTGAGGGAAGGGCAGGATTCAACAGGAGCTATTTGGTTCAACTCCAGAGAACACAACACATTAAGGACAGTGCCTTATGCCACAGGGAACTGGGGAGGGAAGCTCTACCAAGAAGGGCTCTGACATCTCCAGTTAGGTCTAGAGACAGGAGAAACCCTATGGCAGAGGGAATGGCAGCATCTTCAGGGAAAAGACAGGGGTGGGACAGCACCCTCGTGGAATAGAGAAAGCTGCTCACTCAAGCAAACTCAATTGTGATTCCACTGGGATCCAAGGAATGCATGCTTCATTAAATTCCAGGGAAGAACACCAAAGAACACTGTGGACTTCAACTTTTTGTGCTAGTAGGCACATAAAGGAAGGGTGAAAAGGCTACAGAGTAGGAAAAAAAGTTCAAAGTTACACTGTGGCACTTAGTTGTATAACCCTACTTCACTTAGATCATTTTCTCATCTGCAAAATGAAAGCTATCATCTTCAAATTTGCTTTAATGAATCAATATAATTACACAAGCATTTTATAGGGCTTTCAATCGTATTCACAGAAAAGAATGAGAAGATATTTTCTAGACCTCAATGTGGTTTATCAGGTTCCAAGCATTCACCTACTAGTCCTGCAACCACCCATTCACCTACCAATCTCATTTCTATGACCTACTTTAGGAATACACCAGTCCTTCCTTCAGGCCTCTGTGTAGCCTACTGAGGACACCCACAACACACTGCCCTTCCTTTCCTCTTCACTGCATCTCTAGGTCCTGAACTTCCTGTGTACCTGCACACCCATGGATTTTCACCCAGATACCAGTTTTCTGAATACAAGAGCCCATTTCAACCCCCCTTGCCCACCTCCAGCAGGGCAAAGCCCAGGAAAGTCCCCACCCATCATGAATACACTCAGCTCCCAGGGCCTAATTACTGCTCTGGGTCAAAGTCTCAGTTCATTCAGTTACCAACAGTGTTGCTACAGCTCTCACATAACTATCCCAACATGTAATCCCAGAGATGGTTCCAGAACCCCTGCTCAGTCTCGTTCTCCTATAAATCTCTCCAAAAACATGTAATGGCCCATGGAGCCTCTGTGATAAACTTACACCTTGTTTACCAGAAGACGAACACCTCCCCTTCACCACACCCCACACTCCCCTGCACACTGTCCATACATAGCAAAGCCTTGAGAATAAACCACCTACTTCCCTGCATCTCTAGAACCTTGGGCAATTCCTGCTTAGCCCAGAGGATTCTATTCAGACACCACCCCTTCTGTGGTAGCTTCTCTGAGGCTGACCCTCCTCAGGGCAGAGCAGTCAAAGCATATCCCAAGCATTTAATATATTGACCCTGCCCACTCCACATCACTCACACACACAGCCCTGTGTGCTCCTCAAGGATGGAGCCCACACCTGCCTCATCTCTACACTTCCAGGGCCTTGCTAGTTGGGTGTAAGGTAGCTCCAGAATCTTATTTTTCCAGCACAAAGATTCCCATTGTTTTGTCAGAACAGCAGCAAGGCCCCAACCTCTGCTTCTGCTATACTACCTGGCATCTTCTACCTGGCTGTTGGTTTTCAATCCCAACCAATTTTGGGCTTCCCAATCCTCACAAGTTACTCAATCATCATTCCAGCATCTTGAGCCATGGTTCTGAAATCAGATTCAATATGACTGTTCCCTTAGCCACCCCAATCAGCCCACATTCATGTGGGGGCCAAGAATCAAAAGTTCTGGGTGGTAATTTAGAGCACTACTCTAATTACCTGTATTACCTTGGGCAAAGGTTAAAACAGAGTTGACAGTGTCACCAGGCCTAATTGTGAAACATCCAACTATATAAAGCAATGCACATTCATAAAGAACAAAGTTAATACATTTTTATCAGATTTAAACTACTGTGTTCACTTGAGTGAAAAACAATGGCACTGCTATAATATAGCCATCATAAAAAGAAACCATATTTCAGTGATATTAAAAAGAAAAAAAAAAGAGATGTTTTAAAACTGATTTACTGTAATTTATTTGTCAAAATAAAAACAGAGGAGTGTATTGTCACCAAAGGCACACAATAGACACTCAGCAAGTTAACTCATGGAAATGAACAAACACTCTTGGACACTGTTTGCAGGCCAAATCATTGCCTCTCTCACTGGAACTTCCCAAGAGCAGGTTTCCTGAGGCCAGTACTTCCCTCTGTCAAGTCCCAGCCTACTCAACTCCCCTCCAAGGATGACTTCCAGCCTGATGCAAGCTCCCTCATCCTTCATGGTCCCCTCTGCCACCCAGTATTGCCTGGGATACCCTACCGGGCCCCGGAGATCACCTCTCCATTAGACTGTGTCACTCTATAAAAGATAAGAGCTCGGCCACCCCTTCCCCTCTCCACAGCCAAGTCTAGGCTCCAGCTGTTTCCAGGATGTCTGACATGTGGGACTACCTGATGCAGAGGCCTCAGGCTTGCCACCCTACCACTCAGATGGCAAACCCCATGTGGAATCTACACTTGAGAACAAGGATGCTGGTCTCTTTTTTTTCTGTCAATGGCCATCTGGATATTTATAACATCATGTGCAGGCCATAAAAAATTATCAACTTAAAAAATGAGCCTGCTATAGACTTATTGAATTTCAAGTCCCGCCTGTAGCTGCCTTGGCATAGTCAGTCAAAATGTTTTTGCCAGCCTTATATGGCCTGTGGGCCAGGCATTCCCCACCCCTGCCCTGGCCCATAAAGACATGAGTGTTGGGGTATGGAACCCTGCTCTGTGTTCTAGTCCCCATGCCCACCACTGTTCCCTGCTCCACCCTCAGTGAACCTCTACCTGCCCTCAGATCTATAAGAGAGAGGGAGTTAGAGAGGGGAGGGGCTGACCGCTGCTGTCCGCAGGCACCCCCCAGACATCCTTTGTTTCCTTGAGGGCTTTCTTAAAACGCATGTGTGTCAGCGGGCTGTGAGGGCAAGCCAGAGAGTCACTAACACCTTAGTGAAAATGAGTTTTATTGAAGATGCAAGAAACTCAGGAAAAGGAGAAAGGATGGAGAAAAAGAATGAGAAACTTTTATGTTAAGCAAGTCTGGCCTGAGGCAAGTAGCTCAGGGCTGGCCCCGGGTTTCAGGTAACTTCTGAACAGCAGAACAGCAGCTTGATACCTTGAAGGAAGGGAAAAGAAGCCAGACAGACCTTTGGCCCTAGGACCTCAGGGAGGCAGACACCACACAACTCCAGGAAGCAGCCCATCCCTCTCACCAGTTCTCCCAAACTAACACTCTTAGTTCTGCCTCTACTCAACCCCACCCCCTAACACACACACACACACACACACACACACACACACACACACACACACACACAGAGTGTTCCTCCCTTCAGTCAGCTTTCCCTCATACAGCAGGCCTTTACCACTGGGGGGGCTTCAGAAACCCCCTCACTCCACCCCATCCTTCCAAAGCCTTCCAGGACGGCTGGCCCCAAAGGGCCACCTTGGATCCCTCCTAAGTGTAAGAGAGAAAACAGGAGCCCTTCTCATGGATCCCCTTAAAACCAATCCACGCCTGTTCCCAAGCCACAGCAGTTTCTACCTTGGGCTCAGAGTTGGCTCCTAGGTTCAGCTGAGCACTTCTGAGGACAAGGTCTAGGCCCAGCACCCCCAGGTCAGCCTTTGCCACCCAGAGGATACTCCAAAACAACTGCCTACAAAAAGGGACTAGAAGTTCTGAGCCGGCCATATTCATTATGGTATAAATAACTCCGGGGGGGGAGGGGGGAGAAGGGTGCCCTCCTTTCCCACCCCACTTCCGCCCTGTGCCTCATTTATCCCCACTGTAAAATGGGGAAACTGAATGTCTAGGTCCCTAGGCCCTTTCCACTGTGACAACTGAGATTCCGCGAAAGCTCCGAGCGGCTGGGCGTGGCCCCGCCCCCTGGGCGCCCAGAAAAGCCCAGGCAGGGGGCGCGCGGGGAAAGACTCCAACCCCGCCCAGCCCAGGGTCGACGCTTCCCCAAAAACTCCGGGTCCCCCTCGCTTTCCTCCCCCTTCCCCCCGACACGCACCCCGTGATTGGGCCGCGGCCGCCACTTCCGCACCGCGGCCCGGCAGCCCCGGCAGCGCGCTGCGCCCCGCGTCCGTGCCGCCTCAGAGGCGCTCGCGCCTGAGGAGGGCTGGGGGTTCCCGAGACGCCCGCGGGCGGCGGCTGAGGGGGAAGGAAGGAGGATTTGCAACAATACCTCGGGGAGGAGGCAGCCTGGGCAGCGGCGGCGGTGGCGGCGGCTGGAGGCGGAGGCAGAGGCGGAGGAGGAGGTGCCCGGGCACTCCCCCTCCCATTGTCCCCGGCCCCGGACAGGCCCGGCCCCGCGCCCCGCACCGGCTCCACAGAGCGCGCCGCCCGCTCCCAGAGTCCCGCACCCCGGGCCGTGCAGCCAGCCCTTACCTTGCGGCGCCCTGCTCTGGGCCGGCTCGCTAAAGCTACTTATCCCGGGAAAGCTCGCACGGGGCCCGGGAGCGAACCCACAGACAAAAAGTGAAACTTCGACAGGGCTGGAGCGACTGCTGGTTGGTGCCTTTTCCCCCTCCTTCCTCCCCACCGTCCCCACCCCCTCCCCTCGGTCTCCCGTGCGGTGCCCTGAGCGCTGGAGGCTGACGTCAGGGGCCTGAATTCCTGACTTTGCCTGCACGCATTTGTCCATGTAAGGTATGGGAAGGCGGGTGCCCGCGGGGCCGGCCGAGCCGCGTCTGCTGTGCGGGGGAGGGGGCGCCGCATCAGGCAGCGCCTTTGCCCAAAGGTGGACGCCCCAAAAGACATTGCATTTTCTGGGCAGATAAGGAGGAGACGCGGGAATGCAGGGAGCTTGCAAAGAAGGGAAAAGAGAAAGGCTCGGAGGAAGAGGAAGGAGACTTAGGAGAAAGCGGCCAATTCGAGGGGCTGCTGGAGAAATGGGGGAGCCAGGATGCGCAGTGAAGGCGCCCAAGGAGAGCTCTGAGGCCGAGCGGAAGAGATCCTGCCTTAGAATCGTTTTCCAAGTTCTTGCTCCTGCGCCCCGCCCTGGGTTCCCAGCTCCACTCAAAACTTACAGGATGTCAGAACTGCCAAAGACCAAGTTGCAACTCCTGCCAGTCCCAACTGAAGCTCTCCAAGGAGAAACTTGCAGGCCCGGTGCCCCGGGGCTGATTCCTGCTTCCCACTGAACTGCTGCGAATAAGGTTCTGTGTCAGCAGGCAATGCAGACCACCCAGGGAAATGATTTCGTACTTCCCTTGGCCCAGAAGCCAGTTCCTGGAAGGTCCTGGTTGAAAGCAAGCCCTGGAGACCAGTGACAGTGCTGGGAGACGGCTTCCCGCCCACCCCCAGTCCAAAGCATTCAAATAAAGGACCCCCCCTCCCCCCCAGAGCTGAACGTTTATGACCCCACCAGGAAGCCTAAGAAACTTGCTCTGAGAACTGGGTGGACTGGTTGGGTAAAGACAAGCCTGTTCTTGGAATGCAGGCTTCCAATGTTTTTCCTCTGACATCTGTAAATGTTAGCAGTGATGAGGACCTGCATTTATTCTGTGCAGCAGCCATTTCCTGGGAGGTTCTCTAAGACTTCAGACTTTCTTTCCTCTGTTTCTCTCCTGATAATCTCTAAAATAAGAATTCCTCACAGCAACAGTTCTTCCAAATGCCCATTCTCCCCCACTGATGGCATCTTCAGGTGAATTAGAGCAAGTCGTGGTGCCCCCTCTAAACGTGAGACAAATCTCCAGTCAATAACACAAACCCAGGTCCCTTGCCCCATGCCCCAACAACTTCACCATGCACTTGGCCCTAACCTCCCCCACCCCCCACCCAGCTGCACCTGCTTGCAGTCATGCCTAGGGAGAAATCTCCAAATGTGGTTCTCCTCAAGTTAGATTTTGCTGAAATCCTGTTGCCCAAGAGTTAATGAAGTGAGTGTAAAAACGTGAGTTCCAGGCCTGACCATCAGTTGCGCACCTGTTTTGTGCAGTCCTGGAGTTCAGATGTTTCTGGGTTCTAATTACTTCTTTGTTTCTCTCATAAAAACATGAATGTAGTGCAGGGACAAGACCTCGCATGCACCCTTCCATATAGTATGAAATATTTTTATTTGCATGATTTGAAATGGATACTGTTTGTATGAGTTCTTTTGTTCCAGGGCTTTAAAAACATCAGATCCTGTTACAGCCCAATGCATTCACTCTAGCAAATGCTTCAGCAAACCTATGTCTCTGGGACCACTGTATAGGAGAGGGAAAGTCCCATTTACCTCATGAAGTTAGAACAAATTCACCTAATCCCTGCTGGATATAACGGATTCGCCCTCCCTCCCCAGCAACACACTTATTAAGAATAATAGGGTTCTAATGAGGATTAATAAAATTTAATAAGGTAATAATTAAAGTCATTCATTGCCTCCATCATACACATAACAGTGCTGTATCGAATCCAAGAATCCCACTAATTATGTGGAAGCTGTTATAAGTGTATGCTGGGGGAAATCACCGAAATAATTCCACTCCTGACATATTTATGACTTGCTCAGGTAGGCATGGTGTTAGCATGAGCATTCCATAACGTTCATCACAATAGGGAATTTTGACTTGTGAGGTGCTCGCCGGGAGCCTGAGCAGCACACTCATAAATCAGATGCTGGATGAACCTGATGCAGTGGTGTCATCAGTGCCAATCCAAACTGAAATCCTCATTCTCATTTAATGCTCTCTCTGGTTTCTTTCTCAACATCCTTTTAACACTTGCTTGTGGTAGGTTTAAACTTGAAAAGAAGGTTGTGTAACTTTTTTTTTACACTGGGTGCTAGAGGAAAAACAAATTTACCAGTTCAGAGACTAAATGAAACACAGAATTTGAGGGTAGGAGGAGGGAGGTGTCAGTGTGGCCTAGGATGACACACTGATGGCCTGAAGGCCAAGAGCTGCATTCTCATTGGTCCAGGGGTGGTACAAAAGACTTTCAGGTCGACTGGGATTTGGGCCCACCATTCCTTGAACCTGTTCCAGCAGTGTAGGCAAAGGCCTTCAGATAGTTCTTGCTGCTCCTTGTTTTGTAGTGCTTAAAATGAAACCAGGTGCTATTCTTCAGATAGTTCACATACAATTCACTCAGCCCACGCAAAACTCTTTTAAAGTTGGCAGTACTATTTCTCCATTTTATCCATACAGAAACTGAAGCCTGGGGAGATCAAATACCTTGCTCTTAACAGAGGGTTAGTACTTGGGTAAGCTGAGATTTCACCCTGAGCCCTGGCATCCTGGAACTCCGCCTATGCACTGCTGAGTGACCATCTGGTTCCAGTTTGAACACTCCACTGTATGGGGAACTCATAATCTCCTTCAGCTGACCAGGAGGAAAAGCTAAAGAACATGAGGAGGAGCAATGAAAACAATTGGAGAAATAATAGGGTATGGGAGTTGGAAGGTAAATGCCAATCTGAAGTTGCCTCTTCCCAGCTTAAAACCTATGAGGCCACACTTCTTCCTGTGGTTCACATAGCACTTCGAGGCTTATCACCTGCTTGTTCCGTCTGCCCGTGTCTTCCTGGGCTTCACATGCTTCCGCCCTCCTGCCAGCTGAAGTTTTAGTATTTCCAAGCACATCTCTTGTGCATGTGCTTTTACAAAGGGGGAATCTTTCAGGAGTGCTCTTCTCTATCCTGCTGGCAACCCGACTTCACTCTTCAGGCTCCTCTTAAACATCATCTCCCCTAAGATGCTGTCCCTCTGCTCCCTCCCCTGCCTTCTTATTGCCTGTACAAAGCACTCACACCACTCTGCTTAATTTCATTCAGTCCATAGGACCATGGATTGTGCAGCTGCTCACTTCATCTTTCTCTCCTTCTGGACCAGGAGTTCAATGTGTGCCTGAGTCATATCATAATGCATGCCTTGCTCATTGTAGAGAATCTAGCTATTTCCTTATTTTTTTTTATCTTGTTCTGTTTTCCTTATTTTTCTTGATTAAGGGCAGAGAAAAATAAAAGGGCAGAGAAAGAAAGTATAAAGCCTTATTATCTTAAGATTTATTTTAATTTTTATTTGAAAGGCAGGGTTACAGAAATAAGAAGGGAGCGGTGTCTTCCATCCTCTGGTCCATTCCCCATTTGGCTGCAATGGCTAGAGTCAAGCTGATCTGAAGTCAGGAACCAGGAGCTAGGAGTTTCTGGGTCTCCCTTGTGAGTGCAGGGGTCCAAGGACTTCAGCCTTCTTCCACTGCTTTTCTGAGCACAATAGCAGGGAGCTGAAACAGAAGTGGTACAGCTGGGACAAGAACCAGCTTCCACATGGGATACCTGCGCCACAGGGCTAGCCCCATAGAGCCTTACTCTTTAAATGAAATCAGACACCTTCATCCAAAAATGGAATCTGGGGGCCAGTGTTAAAAGTGCAATAAGTATCACTGCCGCCTACATTGCTGACATCCCACGTGGGCGCTTATTTGTGTCTTAACTGCTGCACTTACAATCCATCTCCCTACTAATGCACCTGCAAAAGCAACGGGAGGTGATTCAGATGTTTGGAGCTCTGTACCCAAAAAGGAGATGCAGAAGAAACTCCTTGCTCCTGGCTTCAGCCTGGTTCAGCTTTAGCTGTTCTGGCCATTTGCGGAGTGAACCAGTGGGTGAAAGCTCTATATGTCTCTTCTCTCTGCAACTCTTTCAAATAGATAAACAAGTCTTTAAAAGGTGGAGAGAGAGAAAGAAATAGAAGTGTGCTGGATGCAAATCAATATATAGAAAAGGGAAATAAAGACTCAGAGGACCCAGGTTGTCTGAAAGCAACAGCAAGGCTAGCATGCACGGGAAGGGCTCCAAGAAGAAGAGCTATAGTCCTGTCCTTGCCCTAAAATTGCTGTCAAGAGGTAACTTTCAGCAAGTTACCTCATGTCTGGACTGTTTCTTCATTCATTCATATCTGTGGATATAATGTTCTCTAACATTCTTCCAGTTTTTCACCTTACTATTACATTGTACTTAGAGACCAGACACTAAACACATTTAACAGAGCATAGCATGCAAAAAAAAAAAAGAAAGAGAGAAAGAAAAGGGAAAAGAAGAGAGACAAGAATGAAAGAAAGAAAAAGAAAAAGAAAAATGGTGAAGATCCCATAATTTCCAACCAAATTAACCCAAAACCTTCAGGTACTCCTTCCTCGTTACATGACCAAGATCTAGTGGAATATTTCTAAGTGTAGGTTCTATTTCCAATCCCCATTACCTCTGCTGGCAACCCCTTACATTGCACCATCTCCTTTTTCACTTTCTTTATCTAGACCAAGGTCTGTCTTCACAAATGCAGATATCCCCTGTCCTGTTCATTTCTTAATGCATCTTCCTTCCAAACTCCTCCATTAGTAGGAAATGTGTTGGAGTATCCTGCTGCATTAAGGTTTTTCACATGTAATCATCTCCCAAACATTAAATCTTTTACAATGGGATTCATGCCATGCTCATTCCACCCCCTCCCCCCCGCCCAGAAACCAAGGCAGTATCCGATGCTTATAACCAAATCTGACTTACTCAATGAATGTATCCTCCATCTTGGCTAGATGTGTAATTCAAATGATGCCCTCTCTCTGAAAGATATATTACATTATCTTCGGCTGTGACTCTGTGCAGGTTCAGAAGGGGCAAGAAGAGAGAGGTGTAATGTTTGTCTTGTGTCACCAGATGGTATTTGCGTGCTAATATGCAGCATACACAAATTTTATAAATTATCTGAGGATAACCTATAAGAATAGACATGAAATTATAGCAGTTATTGCTTTGCAACTTTATATCAAATAAAAATTTTCAAATATCCAAGATCATATTTTTCCAGAAGGATCGAAGTACAGATGAGAGTTCTTATTTTTTGATACATCCTAAGGTATAGTACCAGGGTGAATACAAACTAGATGGCAGGGACTCCAGACCAGCCAGAATAACATCTGTATTTGGGAAAGAAATGAAAACCTAATATGATAAATATTGGTGGAAAGCTTCTGTCAATGCAACATTAAAGATGATAAAGCAGTTTATTGGGCCTGGCATGGTAGCCTAGCGGCTAAAACCCTCACTTTGAATGTGCCAGGATCCCATATGGATGCTGGTTCTAATCCCAGCAACCCTGCTTCCCATCCGGCTCCCTGCTTGTGGCCTGGGAAAGCAGCTGAGGACAGCCCTGCACCCATGTGGGAAACCCAGAAGAAGCTTCTGGTTCCTGGCTTCAGATCGGCTCAGCTCTGCCTGTTACAGTGACTTGGGGAGTGAATCATTGAACGGAAGATCTTCCTCTCTGTCTCTCCTCCACTGTATATCTGACTTTCCAACAAAAACAAATATTTTTTTTTAAAAAAAGAATTTCTTTCTAGGGGGAAAAAAGGATAATAAAGTAGCTTATGAAAATTTATTGTCCATTCTTAATACCACATTTGGTAATCAGGACTGATCTTTTTGATATGAAAAAGACTGTATCATCAGACTTCTGAATTTGCTATTTTCTCCCCTTTTTTGAGGACCAGATCTCTTTTTTATACAGGAAAAAGTGATGTCACAATCTATTATGTTCTTTGCCTTAGAGGAATCAAGCAAATGTGGAAAATGAGGACTTGTATCTGCCTTATGGATTTCTGCACTAATATACACAGTTTTCAGAGTCTGTAGTGCATGTTTTGGACAGTTTGCTGGTTTGCAACCTCAAGTAAGCCTAGGATATAAAATGATTTGTTAAACCAAAGGGGCTGGTATTTTCACCTTCCGTTTGAACCACACAAAGTCCCAGTCAGTGCCATTTCTTTACCTGACTTGTGCAACACTGTGCTACCTTGATGTCTCACCTTTTCATCTGGCTATGTCTTTGTTCCAGATTACCCATTTGGCTGCAGCTTATGACTTGAACCACTGAGAAGGCTCAGGATTTCCTTCCTTTCAGCAGGTTAGTTTGTTAGAAGCTTTCTCTTCACCTGTGAAACATACCAGTCAGGCAGGGAAAAAATAATAGTAACCGTCAGGACTTCCTGAGCAAATATATAAACCACTTGAATGGTTGTGACAGCATGTGTAAATTCCAAATGGGATTGGCCACATTTCTATAGGTTTCCTATAGAAATAAGGTCAAGATAAAGTGTTCAACCACGTAACAGCATGGGAGGACACTCAGGCTAGGCGATAAGTGACTAGGTTCTTAGTACCAAATTTCCTGAATAGATTTGAATCTGGGCAAATTATTTGAGATCCTTTATTCTTGCTCACTCACTCATTAATTTATTCTGCTGTATGGAAACCCCCCTACATTTCTATATCTCTATGGCATCTATCAAATCAAATGACCGTGGAGTGGACATTGTGGTATTGCATGTTATGCTGCTTGGGTGTCCATAGCCTAAGCCAGAGCGTGCAAGTTTAAGTCCTGTCTCAGCTTCAGATCCCGCTTCTTGTTTTTTATATATCTCAAGAGGGGATGGATGATGGCTCTAGTAGTGGAATTCCTGCCGTACGGTCTATTGTTTACATTTAATAGGACTGAACCCGTAGATGGAAACTGTCACTCTCTCTTGCCCCTCCCACTCTCATTCTGTCTTTCAACTACACCAGGAAGTGAATATACTTTACAATAAGCATCTTTACTCCCAATGAAACAGCTAAACATACCTTGGCAGTATGATACTAGATTTTCTACCTTTGTCTACATCCACAAGATCATGATGCACTTAAATAGCAGGATGATAAATGTGTAAATGCTACTAAAGAATAATACTGGGTAATATGGGGGCAGAGTGGTGGGAGGGGAAATATGGAGGAAGCAAGGGAAGGGAAAAGAGGGGATCTTTACATCTACAAAACGGTATCATGGAAAATCGTAAAAAGAATTTAAAAATTAGAAATAAATAGCTCAATAAGCTTATAAATTTACCAAAAATGAGTGTAAAAGCACATTGTAAAGTATATAAACTGTGCAAATATAGAGGACTATTGATATCAGAGTTCTTGAATCCTAACATTTTTTTTCCTCATTCCTTTTTAAGTGAAGAGACCCAATGGTCTCTCCTGGTCAATTTGCCCATTGATTCATCACCCAAACTGATAAGAATGAATGGAGTATGCCACAAACTGATCAAAATCCAACATACATTAAGCCTTGATAGCTTTGATTAAGGTACGGATAACTTCGTAGCAAGTTAAAGTAGCAGGTTAAAGTTAGGATTATTAAACAAAAGTCTAAATGCCCTGAATACCTTCTTTTAAGAAAGAGAAGGGGTCCTTTCTTGGGATGATGACTGAACTTCCAATTAAGTGCTTTAAAGCACATGGCTTTGACATTTTAGTTCTACCTCTGATTACATGTAAAGAATTATGCTTGATCACCATAGCAGATGTAAGAAGAAGCAATAGATTTGATTTTGTTTCCTTCCATTTTTGTGATGACTAATTATTACAGTTCAAAAAATTATCTAAATTGCAATGTCTTCTTTGGTGTATGCCCCTGCTTAATCAAGATGCAAGTCATTGGGGTAAAGAATAAGGATAATTAAGAATCATGGGCAGTTTATGTGTAATTCACTGTTTGGTAGTTAGCTATGAGATGATAATCTCTCAGTGCTTGATATTTGATTATCAGATGATAATCTTTCATACCAATTTGTTCTTTTTAAAAATGTGTGTAGTACCAGAAACTTCGCAACTTAGGATCTTCAGTCTTAAATCACAGACTAACTCAAAATTAGCAATGATCCAACATCATGTGCTGTTAGCTAAATAGGGTAGTCATACATCCAAGTTGCCTTCTATGGCCTAAACATATGCCTATTGTCTCAGGATAATTATTAATAGCATTATTTTACTCTCAAAAGTGGCCTAATTAAGGTGATTGAATTTTCTGTTACACCGTGGCACAGGAATTCTTTAACTAAACGTTTCTTCAGTTGATATTAATATTTAGTGTTGTGTTCAGTGACACTAATGCAAAAGTCATTGTGTTTTGAAGTTCAATAGGTGCTCAGAATGTAAAGAATTACTTTTAATTATACTTTTATTCTTTTACAATCATTTTAAGTGTCTGGATAAAGTGGATTCTTAAAAGTTATAACCAGGAATAAAACATAACCAAAAAATTTGCTATAGATAACATATAATAGCCCGCTTAATTACTGTGGAGAGTGGTATCTATCAAAGATACCTGGCTGACTCAGGTTGTGAAAAGTTACAAGATTTGTACCCAGGTTTCTGTGGGCAAGAGAGTAGAAAAAAAAATTGGGAGGGAAATAGTGGGCTCCTCCCTCTTGGGATACCACTTCCACGGGAGGGCATAAAACTAGGATCACGGCTGGGGTGGAATGGGGTGTGGGACAGACTGGACTACTGCTACACATACTGGCTAACCAGAGTAGGGGGCGAGCCTGGTGAGGGTTATTGTGGGTAGCTCCAACTAGGCTGCAGCTCCCACTGGTTTATGCGAGGGCCGAGTATGTGCTGGGCAGCACCAGGCTGGACTGCAACACCCATTGGTTCCAGTGGAAGTCGGGAGTGAAAACAGAACCAACCCAGCAATTGCAACCACCAGCTGATCGGGGCGATGGACTGTGCCGGGCCCTGTACTTGCTAGCACATACAAGAATCTGGTTTGAGAACACCTCAGACAAAGTTTCTTTGGAGATCTCCCCAATCAAAATGCTGGACTCAGAACCCTAACCAAGAAAAGAGAGAAGACAGAACAAGTCAATCAACCACCTCAGCTATATGTTGGCAGCGAAATACAGGGCAAACAGAGACTCTATGATGGACTATGTCAATCAGTGGATTCTTCAAAGACCTCATAGTGCTTGGAGTGGCAAGATTGGCAGTGATTCATAACTGTTGAAATATCAAAAGCACTTAAGCGAATATCTCAGTGCATACCCTACAAGTGGGACCTGGGGAGGGTGGGAAATTGGGCAGGCCTTCTCCCTTAATACCCCCCTTTAAACATGAAGGAAACAATCTGGAAAAAATAATAGTCTTACCCACTTTCCTATAAAAAAAAAAAGAAAAAAAGAGAAAGTGAAGTAAAAAAAAAAGTGTTATTTATATTTATATGAAGAAATTTCAGGTAATGAGGAGTACTCCACACAAAAGAAACAATGAATTTAAAGACGTAATTGTGAGATCATGGTAGAATCAGAAAGCTATAAATAGTAAACTACCATTTGTGGCTAGAAAGTGGCAAATAAGAATAGGTAACTATATGAGAGAGTTGAAAAGAAAAAAAAAACAATATTGAATGAAGATAGGAAGACATTTTGAGAAAGTAACAGAAAATAGCATTAGGAGCCAGGGGAGAAGGAGATGATTTAATTCAGATATTGATTTTATTCAAAGAACTCTTGATCAAGGGACAAGCTGCCCACATCCTGTGCACAGATGTGCTAAGCAGTGGAATTGGCATTGTGTTCCTTTGCTTCCTGCTCCTGGCCTGCTTCATCACCTGTGGCTCACCCTACATGTGTATGCACATATGCAATATTTTAAAATAGACTCTTTATTTGAAAGATAAGAGTAACAGAAAGAGATAGAGGAGGGAGAACTAGAGGGAGGAGAGGGAGAGAGAGTGAGAGAATTTTCCTTCTGTTATCTCACTAACGTTGGGCAGGGTTAAAGCCAGGAACCTGGAACTCCATCTAGAGCTCCCTTATAAGTGGAAGGGACACAAATACTTGGCCACCATTGTCTACCTTCCCAGGTGTTATGCTTGCAGCACTTGAAACTGAGAGAGAAAAGAAAAAAGGCAGAGCCAGGCATTTGGTACAATGGTTATAGTGTTGCTGGAATGGTTGTATCTAACTTCATAGTGCCTGATTCAAGTCCTCTCTCTACTTCTAGATCCTGTTTCCTGCTTTTGTGTAGCATGGAAAGTGATAAAAGATGGTTCATGTACTTGGACTCCTGCCATCCATGTGGGAGATCCAGATGGAGTTCCTGACTCTTGGGTTCAGGCTAGCCCAGCTCTGATTGTTGTTTGCATTTAAGGAATAAATCGGAGAATTCAAGATTTAGTTTTCTCTCTTTCTGCCTTTTAATTAAAACAATAATAAGCAAATACAAATTTGTAAAAGAATGACAAGTGGTCAGTGTGATGGTTCAATTGGCTAACCCTCCACACCCAAGTGCCAAGATCCCATAATGGCACCAGTTCGTGTCCAAGCTGCTCCACTTCCCATCCTCCTCCCTGCCTGTGGCCTGAGAAAGCAGTGGAAGATGGCCAAAAGCCTTGGGACCCTGCATTCTTGTGGGAGACCTGAAAGAAGCTTCTGGTTCCTGGTTTCAGATTGACTCAGCTCTAGCCATTGCAGCTATCTGGGGGGGGAGTGGATCAATGAATAGAAGATGTGTCTCTCCTTATCTCTGTAAACTTGCCGTTACAATAAAAATAAATAAATCTCTAAAAATAAGACAAAATAATGGAGAAAACAAAGCTTTATCCTGGAACTAAAGGGAAATCCATCCTCTAGAAAGGATGAGCTGGAGGAATCAGAAGAAACTGGTGAATTTGGGGAACTCTTCAAAACCTAAAGATGTAATAATAGAGTTCAAAGTTATAATACAACAGGATAATTAAAATAATAACTGGATAGAATGAAAAAAATTACTTTAGAAAATTAAAAGTACAAGTAGCAGAATTAACATCCACTCTGGGCGTGAGATCCAGAAGCAGAAATGCTCTAGCGTAAATTGTTGCATATCAACCTTGGTGTGACTGGCAAACAGGAAAGCCAGGGGAGATTCAATAAAAACCAAAATGACCTAAGACAGACAAGGATCAGGAATCCAGGCTTGGGCCTTTAAGAAAAACGTAGGATAATTAGGATAAAAGGATGGTGTATGGGACTCCCCTGAGCTGGGAGTTAGCCTGGGTTTATGCAAGCACAACGGTCTGCAGCATTCAAGGGGACATCAAAGACA